GCCCACTCGCCGACCCCTCCCTTCCCTCTCAGACCCCACGGAATCTTACTTTTGTCGTCTTCGGCGGTGAAGGCGTCGCTCGCGAACCGAAACACACGATAACCGCTTTGGAAGAATATGAACACCAAATCCTGATATACAGAGCATTTGGGATCAGCGCTCGCGTCGTCGCACTTCAGGTCCAAACCGAAGCCAGACTTAAACAGTGGAAGTCCTGTCCGCCGAAGAGATTGTCATTAGAGTTATCAACAGAAACTAAATGAGACACAAATGCCATACCTTTGAAGAGATTATCGACAGTCATATCTTTGCCGATTTGTGACAACACATTGTCCTTCGGTTCAAACCTCCAGACGAGCCACAGCTGAACGCCATTCACTTCCTTCCAAGAGTAGGCATAGATTATCTTCCGGTGACTAAACACTCCGCCCAACAGTAGTTTCCTCTCCTTCTCACAGAACTTCTCTTCGGACACAATCAGTACCACAAACACTGATATTATCACCAAAACAGTCGACACTAAAGACATCGTATCTTATGTTTGACTTTAAAGTTATAACAGTTTTTTATTTGTGAGAAATCTGTTTTAATTTGAATCAAATGTTTAAGTCGTTTGAGAACTGAATCGTTATAACGGTTTATAATTGTCGTTGACTTTTAAAGTTGTCTCGAGTTTACAATTAATTTCATTATAAACTCATTTATATTGTTATAAACAGGGATTGCATTTACAAATGTTAATTTTTTGTTAAAACAAATTATTCATTCAAATAGATATAAACCAATGCATTAATACTGTTCACGAGATTTAAATAATTAAACAGTAAAATGACTGGAATTCAAATTAAACTGTTTATAATTTGATTATCTTTTCAAACATTGAGTTTAATTATAGTTAACATAATCTGTAAAACAATGGTTAGATCTCTTGTCATACTCTTTGGTAATTATTATTGGGATTCAATCTATGAATTGAGTGACACTTTCTAATCAATAAATTGCATTACAATAGCAATCAATTTACTGGCAATCATAGTCTCAGCCGACGGCCAATACAAACACATTTGTGATGCACTCAAAGATAATAAAGGAAAGATAGACTTCTCTATAAGTGTCCCGAACGGCACGTTTCACCGCAAGTATATAATCATTGGACAAAACTATTGGGAACTCGAATACGGGATCCCGTCTTCACCAAAGGTCAAGACCCGCCGGAGAAGAGACTTAACGGACGATATCTTAGGAGATTTGGGTATTAAAGGCGATTCTGAGTCCTCATCGGCCGCCCAATCGGCCACAAGTGTCGCCCTTAAGAACCCATTCGGAAGAATAAGCAAATGGCTGTCCGGCAGCTATTCGGCGGGTTTTGCCGTCAAATACGGAGCCTCTGGCGACTGGACTAAGACTACTGTGGCGTTGATTGACGTACTGTTTCTGTTTTTAAATAATAAATTTGTTGCCAATTAATACCCCAATTGTGATAATAGGCGGACACGAGTGCCATAGAGTGGACACTATTCCCGCGAAACAACAATGGGTTGACACCAAAGGGCAACTCAAAGAAGACCAAATCGAAGAACGTTTTTGGAACCTTTAAGCCACACATCGCTTACAATACGTTTTCACAACAGGACAAGAATAACGTGGTGTTTGTCGAGCAGTTGGCCGAACCCAAGAACTCCCGAATACAAGTCTACGGCATACCAGAGCCCGAGAAGCCGTGGGCTAATCAGTCGATTGATGTGGCAGTTGTGTCGCCGGCCATCAAAAAGGCGATGACTGCTCTCACCATTAAAGGCGTGTTTGGTGTCCAACGGGACGGCGAAGACGACAAGAATGGGCTGATTATATTGAGCGAGCGGTGCATTCAGATGCCTATCCCGACGTATCCGTGCAAAGGCAACCTCTCGTATCACTATTGTATCACTTCTGAAGCAAATAGTGATCCCTTGGGTTCCGGCAAAATGCATGTAAGTATTGCTGTTATTGTCATTGTTTAGAAGATATGTGTTAACTAAACCGCTGCCCCACCCGTCAGTGCCATCCGGCCAAACAGAAACTGCTCGTAAACTGTGCCAAAGAGTGGCCTAAAGAACCGCCGGAAGGTATGAAACCAGAGCCCGAAGAGGAGTCAAGTGAACCAAATGAAAGCGCGGGTAGAGATGGAGAACAGCGCAGCGCCGATGGCAACGGAGCCGACGGTAAAAACAGTAGCTCTGGCGGTGGAAACGGTCTTTTGGGCTCTTTGCCACTCATTGGCAAAAAGGATAAGGACAGCAGCTCTTGGCTCATAATTGTGATAATAGTGATTGTGATCGTTGCGGTAATCATCGCTGTGTTATTGGTTTGGTTCTTGTGTTTGAATCGCAAAACCACTGATACTACTGGTATTTATGAGATAAAAACTACAATTTATAGATTTGTGCGACAATTAAAGCTAACCCTTTGGTTTGTTATTGACAGACCAGTCGGCCGGTTCCGCTGCCGTGTCAACTGAGCCACAGATGGGAACCGTCCGGAGCCAAGTCGGTGCCAAACCTGTCTCAGCGGTCGGCGGCAAACCCGACGCCCCGGCAAACGCGAAAGCAGACGCACCCGAAAAGTCACCGGCGCCCGCATCGCGTATGTATCTCATGACACATGCATTCAATTACAATTGTGTTTATGTCCGAAACTAATTAACACTGTTTTTCATGACAATTATATGGATATACAGGACAGGGATCTAAGTTTGAAGCGACCAAAAGTGTTAGAAGTACTATAAAGTGAGTGACCACTCGTTGAGCGCCGATTTACTCGCGTAAAATCGTCAAAATTTTATTTTTTATTTTATTCGCAAACTATTTATTCATTTTTATTTCAATTGACTTTTGTTTGCATTAATTTGTGCAAAAAAATATTTTTATGCTTTTAAACGATATTTTAATTTATGACTACTTTTATTCAATAAAAAACTTGTAAAAATATTGATTTTTAATTAAATTGTGTTCATTATTCGCGAGAGAGAGAGAGAGAGAGAGAGAGAGAGAGAGAGAGAGAGAGAGNAGAGAGAGAGAGAGAGAGAGAGAGAGAGAGAGAGAGATAATGAGAAGTACCAAGGGCGTTGAAAATAGCTGATGACATGCACTTAAAAACAATTTCTAAAACAAACAATTGATTTGACAGAAACTTTAGAGATGAGCGAAATTTCATTTAACTAAACATAAATCTCTAAAACAAACAAATAATGAGTGAAAACATATTTTCGGAGACAAGAAGACGAAGAATAACAATAAGAAGAAGAAAAAAAAGTTAAGAAAAGAGTCGACGAAGAAGTGGATGAAGAATAAGACGATAGAGTGATAGATAGGGAATGGATAGAGAAAGTGATGCAAAAACCAGTCATCCCAACACTTGGCTGTGTGTCTGTCTGTACGCATGTCTGGCGGTATTTGGCTATGCATTGCACTCAATGGGAGAGTGTATGGGAGAGGGAGTGTAGCGCTGCCTCTGCTCTCACTGTATGTCTGCTTTTCAGTGTTTGTCAAGTGTTTTGAATGTTTGTATGCATTGAAAAATGCAATTTTCAGTGATAGGTGTGTCCACTCATACCAACCATACCTTAAACCGCTCGCAATATTTTCATAGTGTTATGCAATACTGACTGTAATTGATAAACAGCACTACTGAGCAGTGGTGTGAGTAGCCAGACATATGAGTGATAAGCAGATTCAATGCACTGTCAATGCTTGAGCATAACACTATGAAAATAATGCGAGCAGTTTACCTGAGACTACATTATAAGCGACACAACAAATGGTGTTTGCATTCAATTTGAAACCAACTTTTTTTTATATACATTTCATTCATTCATTAGTTTTTGTTTTATAACTAAGTTTTCAAAAAGCAAACCAAACACTGATTTAGTGATGATTTTAACGCAACAAAAGTGACAAATGCTTTAAAAAGCGGCGATTTTTATATGAATTGTGTTTTGGTTTTCAATTAGCGTTTAGTTTGTCATTACATTTGCTTTGAATCCGATGTCAGCGATGGCACCGATGATGGCGGCGGCGATGGTGTGGGCGCTGGTGATGGCCTCCCTATTGGTGGTGACCATCGATGGACAGTTCAGTTGGCAGACGAGGGACTCCGTGGACGAGATCCGCAAACAGTTGGATAAAGTGCGTGAAGACAACTGCAAAGTGGTGGACATCAATGAGCTATTCCTCCCCCAGTCGTCGGTCACTCACATCCCGGACCTGAAGTGGTTGGGAATCGATCCCATATTTCCCAACCGGACTAATCTCTTGCACATCCATAACATGGCGCTCAGCCGTGCCTTTTATCTCAGGTATGGATCCGTCACACAAAGTGATAGAGAGAGAGAGGGAAGGGGTGTGTCTGTCATTGACAGTCATTGTCTGACTCTTCGCCATGTATTACGTGTCCACTAATTGTCTCGTTATGTCTTTGCGTGGCATTCAGTTATATCCTCCAGAAATCTCCCGACAACGATGAGCCGGGTTTCATGTATTACTTCCTGTCGTCGATAGCGGATGTGGCGGCCAATCGGTTCATAAACGCGAGCAGTATATACTACGGGCCACACATGGCGTTCACGCCCTCATACAAGGGCTTCTTCAATAAGACGATGCCTTTGTTCGCTCCGCGCGCCTTCCGGGCGGACGACTTCAACGACCCGTACCATCTTCAGGGCACGTCCACTCTCAACACCATTGAGGCCATCGATTTGGGCGCCATTCAGAACCACTCGTTTAGCGCCAACTATACCCACGAACAGTACAAGATTAACGAGTGGTACAGACAATGGCTGCCCGATCTGACCAAACGGCACGACTCGAAGACCACTTATACCGTTCAGATCACACACACGAACGGCACGAATGAGACGTTTGTATGGCACGGACCGCCCGCCGCGTCCGACATTCCCGGACCCGTCAAGTGGTCGAAGCCGTACTTCGATTGCGATCGATCTAATAAATGGGTTTACGGCGCGACGGTTCCCATTCCCGACATTTTCCCCCGACATACCGGTTGGCGACACATCGAGATTCCCATGTATTGTCATTACATTTGTTTCTATTTTGTTTGTTTGGTATTAATCTCTTTGTTTGGATCAGTTACGTGGCGGTGGCCGTAATGGAAGTGGATTTTGACCGAATCGACATCAATCAGTGTCCGATAGGTGAGGGAAATCCGGCGCCCAATTACTTCGCCGGAACCGCTCGTTGCAAGAATTCTACGACTGAATGCGAGCCCATTCACGGGTACGGCTTTAGACGCGGCGGCTATCAGTGTCGCTGCAAACCGGGCTTTCGTTTGCCAAAAGTGGTTCGGAGTCCGTATTTGGGAGAAATGATTGAAAGGGCGACTCAATCCGAGTACAACTGGGGCTACAATTGCGACAAAATCGGTTACATCGCTGTCCGCACCCAAAACGTGGTGCCCATCGAAGAGTACGAGCGCCAGAAATACATCGCCCGAATGGAAACGCTGACCGGTCTTCACTCCAACGCCAACTATAGCACACGCGTTGATCCCAACTATATTACCGATTATATCCGCCGAAGTATAACCGCACAAAATTGTCATCAAATATCGGCCAAAAACCCGGATGTGCTGACTCTGAGGGGCGACATATCGTACGGCAAAGAGGAGCAGCTCGAGAATCAGGCGCGTATGGCTCTACGACTGGCCAACTTTATATCGGCGTTCCTGCAAGTGGTGGACCCGAAGGAACAGTTCGCCGAGTTTCGTGTTCCCGACAAATCGCTCACTCAGGACCAGATCATTGGCGAGGCGTTGGCCACAGTGATCGGCGACCGGCGTCTCCAGGGCTGCGGCGTGTTCTTCGACCGAAACCAATTCAACCATACGGTGACTCACTTCGCGCCCTACGCCTACCGGAAGGAGCGAAACACCCGTAAGTTCTTCGTGGACGACATGTCCCGATTCAGTGCGAACTCCAAACAGTTTTATTTGAATCACGAGTACTTCAAAATGTTGAAAATGCGGTGGGCGTCCAATACGGACGACTTGGGCACCTATACCACGAAGATTAACGTCCGCTACAACAGCACCGGTCTGTACGCCATCCGCTACGACCACTACCCGCTGCAGTATAAGGCGGCCGAACTATCGCACGGCCACTGGACGTCGCCGTACTTCGATTGCGGCGGTTTCCACAACCAGTGGCTCATGACATACGCGGCGCCGTTCTTCGGCTGGGATAAGATCAAGTCGCGCCTCGAGTTCAAGGGTGTGGTGGCCGTGAGTGTCAAACTGGAAGAGCTGGACATAAGCCAATGCGGGAACGACTATCAGGTGCCCAACGCGTTCAAGAATACGCACAAATGCGATCGCCTGTCGTCACGGTGTGTGCCAATACTGGGCCGTCGTTTCGACGCCGGCGGCTACAAGTGTGAGTGCGAACAGGGATACGAATACCCGTTCAACGACCCGATCACGTACTTCGACGGACAGATACTGGAGGCCGAGTACCTGAACATGAAAGAAGACCGTCCCTCGCGTTACGACACACTGGCCTGTCGGGTGGCTGTCGGCGCCCGAGTCAGTCAGGCCTGGCCTGTGTTCACGATTTTGCTCATAACAAGTGTTGTAATTCTGGTGAATCTCTCCACACTCTAAGTCCACTGTTGTTATAGAGTTATTATTACATGTATTATAAATATATTAATAATGAAATTTACGAGTAATTTATATATAATTATGACACGAAACAAATCGATACAAACAAATGTGTTGTGTATTGAGTACTAAAATACAAATATTGAATCGTTTGCATCAAAATGTAAGCAACAAAAAAAGTCATTGACTGAAAATCATTGTCCATTTAATATAACGATCCATTTTGTAGGGAAAAGCGCTATAAATATATACACATAATATGTACTTAAAATATATCTAGTTTTGGAGTGTTATTTGAAGAATATATCTATATTTTCTATGATATAATGTATTATATATTATATAATAGGGAAGAGAGTTATTTAGAGAATTATTTTTTAATTTTCAAATCATTTTATTTACACAAAAACGAATCGAAAGTTTGTTTGGTTTATAAATGAAGAAATTGCGAAACTAATGATGAGTGCATTCCTGTTGTCAATGATAAGCCATAAATTGATATTTCAGTCAATGATATGTCTGTCCAAAAAAATATATAGTGATCCGAACCGACCAAACGAATCCCAAAAACCCTATTGTTTTATTAATTATATATTATATTACATAATGTTTTTTATGTAAAAGCGATTTCTTATTTTTTAAAAGGCATACATTTGTTGCACAAAAATCTCACACATTTTCTATTGACTATAATTGTAAATATTGGTTATATTTGAAGTTTAATTGACTGTATTAGTAGTTATCGACACCTCATCCACGCATTCAATGAATTGTCTTTTTTTAATTCACACAATGTTTTAATGAAATTAACATATATTTTGTTTTTTAAATAATTTGTAACACAATTATGTATTGCATAATAATTTTAGTGCAATTTTTAGTCCAAATATTTGCTCTCATTTGAAACATAATTATTTGTTTTTTATAATATAATTATTTTGTGTTTATATTTTTCACTTAAGTTTAATTTTTGTAACACAAGAACTTTGGTATAGATTTTTATGATCAAAAACGTTGTCTTTAAAAGACTTTCTCATAAAATTCATTGTATAAGTGAATGGCATTTAAAATTGATGTTTGATTTGAGATGTAAAGAGTGAGAATTTCTCAATGAATTTGCACACAAAATAACTATACATTACAGCAAACTATTTATTTCGTTCACATGTTTTGTGACTTAAAAATAGCCACAAATCATGTGAAGTAAGTAACAAATAGTGTTTAGACGGGAATCAAACGGTTTATGTGTTTAGGCGTGAATTCATTGAGGAATTTCCAGTCTATTCTCGATTCTCTCTCCCAAAGCAGACACTAATTGTTTTACAATGTTTTGCTTTTAAACGAATTTTGAATCTCTGTATTCCTCTGAATCTCTCGACGAGATCTCATTATTATTATAATTATTGACTTTTTAATGAGTTTTTGAACGTAAATGTTATGCAAATTGTAATCTCAATTATTACTTGTATTACCTATTCTTACGGTGTTTTTCAATTTGTTAGAAAGAAATAACTGTTTGTTTGTTTGTATTTCTTATGTCAAGCATTGCAACTATTTTTAAAATTATATTATTATACTATTAATGAATTTTAACCGCAATTCCGACCAATGATTTAATTGATTGAGTGATTTAATTGTTACTTATTTTATAAATTGAATTATTATCAAGTCTTAACATTTTTTCAATGTATTAATTCATACAATTGTGAACAACGAAACATCATTTCTAATAAAGTGTTTGATTTACAAATACATACGTCAAGTGTTTTGTTTATTAATATTTGTTACTTTAAAATTGAAATATTTTTTATTTTAAATGTAAAATTTTAACCAAAAACACATAAAATCTATTATTGAGAAAATAACGAAAAAGTGTAATGAAATGAATTTCTATGCATATGTGTAGCAATTGGATAATGATTTAAATTTAGATAATTTGCAACTTTTACACAGATCGAGTAAAAATATAAGAATATTTAAAAATTAACTTATATTTATTGGTGAATGAATTTTAATTTTTATAAACCCATAGTTTGTGTCATTATTAATGATTATCAGTAATTATGTTTAAATTAATTGTTTACAAACCCAATAGCGAAAGCATGCATATTGTGTGTTGTTTTTTAACCATAACTATAGAAAATTATGTTATTTTGTGATTACTTTTAATTATTATGGACTCAATGTATGAATAATATGTGCAAAATTGTCGAATAATTTCTATACTTTATTATAATAAATTATAATAGATATACGAAACTTTCAAACACTAGTATATCATTAGAGATAATAATTAATACAATACATAGGGAGTGAATGAGTGAGAGTGAGGGAGAGGGAGGGAAAGAGTGAAGGATAGAGTATTATATATTGTATACACATATAGAATATAATACATCATTAGTTAGGTTTGTATACAATTACTATAAGAACCGATTGTATCGCAACTCTCCCATCAAAATGCAATCTCACGCCTAAAATCTTTACCAAAAGTCTCTCTCTCTCTCTCTCTCTCTCTCTCTCCCTATTGTGTGTTGACTACAATCTCAATCCAATTTAAGACTAATACTAGTGCTGAAAATGTAATCATTAAAAGTGGAGACTCTTATCAGAAAACTTTGGTCAGAGCGTTAGCCGCGCGGCATATCTTATAATACCGTATGTAATATGTTATTACAGTGAGTGTTGGAGCGAAAGAGAGAGAGAGAGAGAGAGAGAGAGAGAGAGAGAGAGAGGAGTGAGCCCCTCCTTCTCGGAGAGCGTCCGCATCGTTACCTATAATTATGATCTGTTTTTTGTGCGGTTCGTCCCAAACGAGACACTCATCTCTACTCTTAATACCTTTAGCCATAGTTAGGATACGCTATCAGTATTTTGGGGGTAATTCGACGCCCGATTCAGACAAGCCCTGGGAGACCGACAACTGACGTATCCATCCTCTCAGAGCCAACATTTCGTCACACAATTATCTATTTATCGATACGTGTCTGTAGTTTGTAATAACGACGGCACAGATGTTTGTGAGCCTTCAATACCATTATTGCTATTATTATTATCATTAGACGTTTTCCTCTCCCGACTCATGATTTTTGAAGAGTTCTCTCTCGCAGTGAGTGATAGGAAAGGAGAGAATATAAGAAATATAAAAGTTATATATATTTGTAAGTGTTGTGAGACGTGAATCAATTCGGCGCAAAGCGTTTCGCACAAAACTTGTGTATATTTTTCGCTCCCGATATCTGCTATTCAGTGAACCTCTGGTTATCAACTTTTGGCGCTTTAGTGCCATCGAGGAAGTCGTCGATTGGCATATAATTCGTAAGTGATTTTTATATCAGATCCCAACCGACACACGGAGAGAGAGAGAGAGAGAGAGAGAGAGAGAGAGAGAGAGATCAAAGTTATTATTGTCTTCAAAGACTCGCTTTCTTTACAGAAAAAGCATAAATTGAAACGAAAAGCAAAGCTTTTATTCGTCTCCCTATTCAGTGTTTTTGTCTGTATATTAGACAACATGTAATCCGATATACGTTTTGATATATTATCTGTTCGTTTAGTAAGCGTTTCAATACTTTTGCAAACACAACATATCCATAGACTATAGCCTGTATTGAGGCAACCGATTGGCAACTCTTTTTTGTTTCCTTCAGTGCTTCGCAATTATTTCATACAAAACTCGATTCAATAGTTTTTTGTGATCACAAATGCAGTGTCTGTTTCTGATGTCCAGCTCTTTTCATGGGTGAAGATATCGCTCTCTATGTAAAGAACACCAATCATTGTGTTTGTATTGCAAGAAATTATTATCTCTCGTATGTATTGTCTGTTCCCCTCTTTATATATAATCTGATCGCTTGTTATGTATGTGTTATGTGTTTGAGTGAGGAATCTATACAAGACGTGTGGTTACTCTCCAGAGCACAGGCGCTCCGGTATATCGAGTCTCGCATTTGCGTCAGTAGTTGTTGTAATAGCAATAGTAGTGATAGTCGTTGTCGTGTCCCTCATAGAACTGGATCTGCCTCTCGAGTGATCACTGTTTTGGACATGTTTTAGATCGTACTATGAATGCCATGAATGGTATTTTGCCGACACCTCAGGAGTTGATGCGAACTTTCTGTCAGACAATCACCGCTCGGGTCGACAAACGGCACCACAAACTGTCCAAACATAGCAAAGACAAGACCGACGCCAACGGCGCTAAACAGGAGTCGACCGACGATTTTAAGGTATGTCTGCTTTTTGTTTGCCAATTGTCTCCTTATCTCTAACATTGCATTTACTGCTGAAAAACTATCCGAAATACCCATTCATTTGTTTATGTGTTTCCAATTCGTGTATTCTTTAGCCAAAATTCCTCTGTTTTCCTCTAATGACTAAAAATTCTGGAAATATTTCTCGCATTTTATTATTATCTTTATTATTATATACGAAATGTATTGCATTAAACGAAAACACTTAATAAATGCAATACAAAAATAAGCACATGTTTAGCTAATAATAAACAATTCTTGACTTAATAATGATTTTTTTGATAGCATATCGATTGTGATAAATATTTATGCCATTAATAGTTGTATATTTGTTCAGTGAATTTGTTGGATAAGGTTTTGCTAAAAATATATGAATATTTTTGTCTAAACACATATTCTTACGAATCCTTCTGTTTTTGCATAAATTCTGTATTAAAATAATATTGGATTTCACTTTTTGAATACCATTTCCACTTTCAATGTGTAGTGAAAGCTAATGCCAGCAGTGTTTGCGGGGATAAACACCCGGTGCTGACCCCCAATGCGCTCATAAATTTCATTTTATAAATTTAGTTTTTCGGTTTCATTCAAAACTGCAAAAGCCTTTCGCTTCTGTGATGTATTTCACTCCTAATTAGGGTGACCACCTTCCATTTTAGTAAAAGAGGACATAACAAAAAGTTTTAGAGGACAATAGGGAAAACATACACTGAAAATTATGACAAATAGAGGACACAAGTTTTAACGTTGGTTTTCATAGCAAATCTTAAGAGTAGACTATTCAAAAAATATCCAAATAGAGGACAATCCTCTGTAATAGAGGACGGGTGGTCACCCTACTCCTAATGCCTGATCTCTTAAATAACTAATAGGGTTTAAGATTTACATTAATGAGTTACGTAATGCTTGGCTTCTGAATAAATGGCATTTCATAATCAAATGAATAGAGAATAAAGTTTTACTTTGAATTTTTTTCAGTAGTCCTTTTCATTCCTCGAGATGTGTTTTTAGAGTTTTTGTTTGTTTTTTCGCGATTTTCAACTAAAATTTAGTGTCTAATCGACAATTTTAAAGATAATCTTTGTTTATATGACTCTAACAAATGACACCGTTTTCTAACGGTTTAAGACTTATTTTCACTCTAATTGGCGTTTTGACAATTTCTCCGCCAAAATGCAAAATCTGACACTTTATGCGAACAATATTCGCCTTTTCTGTTCTCAGTCTCTCTTTTTATGTGTAATTTTAAGATATTTTTCTCCTAAATATATATAAATATATAATTGGATCTCAAATCTCAAGCATTTTTTTCTATCTCTGCTGAGCTTTAGTCTATTTTCCTTTAGAGTGTTTAGGGTTTACTCTATTTTTATGCTCTCTCTCTCTCTCTCTCTCTCTCTCTCTCTCTCTCTTTCATTTATTCACTCACTTAATTAGTTAAAAGTTATATTCATTAAAAATGCCTGATTATAAATTTGTAACTTTATATAACACAATATTTACTTTCGTTTTTCTCTCGAAGCAGAGAGAGAATTGTATACAAACCTAACTAATGATGTATTATATTCTATATGTGTATACAATATATAATACTCTATCCTTCACTCTTCCCTCTCTCTCTCCTTATATCTAATATTCGGATCTACAGTAAAGTCTGTTCACTATAAAAGTATAACCACTTTCCCTTCTGTAATCATATTTCATATGTTTTCTTGTATTTTCAATGAGTATTTTTTTGTAAAATTCTATTTCAATCCGAGTTTTGAATTATTTTTGAAATAAAATATATAAATTATATTAATAAATATATAATATGTAATGAATACAAGCCTGGTATCAAGTATACACACTCACATGAGAGAAACATCAGGGCTAAACAATTTCATTCATTTATTAGTATGAATTTTAAACCGTCCTAACGTTCGGATCGTATTTAATATCAAAGTTTTTAATTCAAAATGTATTTACTTTCTCTCCGGTTATCGCATGAATATTATTGACATTTATTTTGGATATAATTCTGTTTTGTTTGCGAGAATCGTATTTCACTTAATGCGAGCTCACTATAGATATATTATACCTTACAGTGTATTCGCCAATAGTGTACAGTTGTGTATATAATACGAGAGCATCCGATCACCAGTTAATGAAATCCTTTTATTCTATCCTTGAATGTAATATTGTCGACGAAATCCAATATTCATGGATTATATTTCCTATTTTTCGTATTATGTTTCGTAATATTTATTTTTACAATATATTTGTCGACTCTTTTTCTTCACGAAAATAACTTTTCTTAATAAAACTTACGACTAAAGGGACTCAAAACCAATCCCACTATTCAGGTGTAAGTGCAGTCTAGTAGTGGGTTTTGTTGCTAAATGAGGGGACTTGTTGGTCAGTACTACCATTTCGCTCTCTCTCTCTCTCTCTCTCTCTCTCTCTCGCTCCAACACTCACTGTAATAACATATTACATACGGTATTATAAGATATGCCGCGCGGCTAACGCTCTGACCAAAGTTTTCT